TGGCTATATTACCTAGCATATTTCTGTGGGGGAACACTCGTACTCGTTTACAGCAACAATCTAGGCCAAATTTCAGAGTCACTTGGATATAGATCAGAGATCAGCTTCTTTGTTGCACTCTATTCTGCATGTTCCTTCTTCGGGCGCTTGCTTTCAGCCGCCCCAGATTTTCTACGCAAGTAAGTATTTCACGATTTACTGTTCTTAATCACCATCATGGGAAAAGAACTGACAGCTGAAATGGTTTTTTGGATGCAGCAAGATGAACTATGCAAGGACCGCGTGGCTTGCATTTGCACTGATTCCTACACCACTGGCCTTCTTTCTGCTTGTTTTATCAGGAAGCAAAGCCGCATTGAGTGCTGCCACAGCATTAGTTGGGTTGAGCTCTGGTTTTGTATTTTCAGCATCAGTGTCAATAACCTCTGAGCTGTTCGGCCCCAACAGTGCCGGAGTCAATCACAACATTCTCATTACGAACATCCCTCTGGGATCACTACTCTATGGACTTCTTGCAGCTTTAGTCTATGAAGCAAACCTAGGGAAACCAGACCAAGTGCTTGTATTGGATGGATCAAAAGTTTGCATGGGTAGGAACTGTTACATTCAAACATTTATGTGGTGGGGATGCATCTCTTTATTGGGAGTAGCATCTAGTTTTCTGCTTTTCCTAAGAACTAAAGCTGTCTATGACAGTCAGGAAAGGAACCGAAATTGGATGAGATTAACCTGAGTGGAATTATCTTTCTGGACTGACTTTTGAAGACTGTAAGAATATAGATGCCATTGGAATCACTACCTCATGCCACAATTAACAGCAATCCAGCATAACATTCTGTTGAAGGGTGGAAAGAAGTACAACTTTTGACACAATGGTAGGAAAGATGCATCTATAATCATGAGGGTGATCAGACAAACCCAAGCAGGCTAGCATACTCTACCTTTTGCATGATTAGGGAAGAGAGGTGAATTGAAAACTGTAGAGGAATACACAGAAAGAAATGATGAAAGTTGATACTTGATAGAATAAGACTGTTGGAAATTACAAGTTTTGCTGGCTTCTCTACAAAAGGTTAATCCTCCAATGAGATACTAAAATACTGTCATTGTCAAGTTTGCACTTGATCCTGCAAGTCTATAGTCTATACTTCTTGCTTTGATGGCAATTGTTGGTCATTAGCTTGATTGGAAGGACTGATGCAAATAATGCAATTATACCTTTCCAGTTCTTGCAGCCGGTTGGCCAGAGATATCTTGTAAAAACACTAGCCTTGATGAGTTCATAATGAGAATATTTTCATTGTTGAATCTTCTTTGACTTTATGTATTACTCTCCCTTCAACTAAACTACAAAAGATAGTTGATCACCTGAATCCAGAAATTTTGTGAAATCTCCCCTTCCTCAACAGTTGAGGAGAGGAAGAAGAAAATCAACTACCATGTAAAGTAATGAGAATGAAGTTATTTTCTTGACTGTCTTTGAAAGATTTCTGCATGATGAATACAATACTGATGAGGAAAATAGAGAAAACTAGACACCTTGGAACAAGTTACTTGTTGCAGCATTTTTAAATGGCCTAGAAACTGCTCTCCTTTTGTCTAAATTTGTGGGACTTGCTCCAGGAATCAAAACATAAAGCACATATGATGCATTTAGAAAGAAAAAAAGAAACAACTAAATGGGAGCAACGAACTTTCTCTTTTAATCATCATTTGCAATAGCATGTTCCTCCACAGGGCTGCTAGAGTTTTCTCTAGTCCCTAAGATTGAGGGTAGGAACATTCTGAAAAACTATTCAAGGCTCATTAGGTCTGCCTGAAAAATGTCTAAAACATTATGAATTTCTTCAGTGCAGAACACATCGACAAGTTCTACACACAAAATATGAAGAAGCATTAGAAGAAGGTGAAACTTCAGGATTTCAAATACAAAAAGTATGATTATTTTCTTATATCGACGTGTTAACAGGCATGTGATTGTCAACATAATTGCTAAGTTCCATATGTAGGACACAACCAGAAGAAAAGACATGTTAACAGGCATGTGATTGTCAGCATAATTGCTAAATTCCATACTTAGGATACAACCAGAAGATAACCATAGTCACAATTTAGACAATACATACACAAAACAAATACTAGAAAGTCGACTCTTTTAAAGCAAACTGAGACTGCATCAACCTGAGATAGGTTAATAGAACTGCAGATATGTCTTGAAGAAAAATAAACTGACTAAATACGGTTCTATATACTTGTCATTAATCTACAAGTTCCAACAGTTAGAAGATCTAGTACTTTTAACCAAGTAGTATTGGGTTGTCACTGTTTGCACCCTCCTCATCTTCAGGTTTCAATTCAGCTGGGAAATCACCACTGAGAATCTGAACTCTGAATTCGATTTTGCTAGCGCTGCACTCTACCAGTTCAAACACAAGTCCATCCCCCTCCTTCAGATTATTATCATCCACAAATTTTCTCCACTCAATGCAAAATTTGTGACCAGATTTGACTCCACCGTAAGACATATCCCACTTCTTTTGACCACAAGTAAGGACTGCAGGGACTGCACGAGCTCCAGCAGAAGGAAGCTCACTGCGCATTTTCTTGGGTAAATACTGTCAAACATTCAAAGAAATTTAGTAATATAAAAGCCACAAGAACCCAAAAATTGATCCTTATGTCTAAGTATAACTATATATTTATTTGTTTTTAACCCTTCTTAAGGAGCTCCCACTTTTTTCTCCGCCATATCTAATCTTGAATTCACCACAAAAAAATCTTCTTTCTTTGTGGCTACCCCACCCAGGTATCGATACCCACATGGGGTTCCAACTAAATTTGAGTCCTAGCCATAAAATCCCATAACAAAGTCGACTCCGTACCCTACAAAAGAATCATCTTTAAACAGATACTAACAAAAGGGGCGCGAAGAAGGGGAAAAAAAGGGAGTTACCATACTGTAGCTGGGCTTGACACCGGTCTTTGTGAGAATCAAATCAACATAGGGTTTCCCTGAAAGTGGCCAGTATTCACCATTGTCGATTTCTGTAATTCCAGAGCTTTCAATCTCGGGTTGTTTCATGGTGGAGTAACTATGACTGTGGTTTGAAACACGTCCAAAAGATGATCCGCTCTGAAAAAAATCAAGAAAACAATGCAAGCTATAAAATCTGAAAAAAAATATTCAGGAGAAATTTGTTAGGAATGATGAAAATGTACCTCCATAGTCGATTGATCAGAGTTTTGTTCTGGCGAAGGGTTTTGGGTTGGGTTTTAAAAAAAAATAAAAAATTGATTCTTCGATGCATATGATTAAATTTAAATTCACTTTGAAAAATTTCAAATCAAGGAATAAAACAGTACTCAACTATTAAAATTCCATCAAATTTAAATTTATATTAAAAATTTTCAAATTGAGGAGTAAAAAATTACTTAACAAAAGCAGAGACACCCAAATACGTGGGTTGTGGAATCCCAATATCATTAAAAAATATTTGAATTATTTATAAGTAATCTAATTATCAAATAAATATTTGCGTTCATAAATTTTTTGCTCAATAGAAAATTGAACGATTTAGATTGAAGGTTCGTTTGAATAAAACTTGAAATCAGATAAATAAAATTGAAGTTTCATTTGAATATATGAATTTCTTAAATTATATTTTTTGTTGTAAATATAAAAAAATTTCAAGTCGTGAAAACTATAAAAAAAAAGATCGATTTTTTATTTTTATAATTTCTTACTAATTTGACAAATTATAATTTATAAATAAAATATCAAAGACCATGTCAACATGGTGTGACTAAATTATACCCAATATCTTAGGCGAAGAAGAATATGTGTTTTTAAGGCTTAAGCTTGTTGCTTAATTGTGTATGTGTCGTTTAATTATTAATTATATTACATAGTAAAATGCAATGTCCTTAAAATAATTTTTAAAATAAGAAAAGAATTAATTGAATGTGAATTCCTAAATTGATTAACATGAAAGATACTATAATGATTACATAATGACTAATGTTTTGAAATACCCTGATCCGAGGATGAGAGTTTAGATTAAACAATAATAACTCTATTAATAAAAATAAGAATTATAATAACTCTACAAAAAAAATTTACAGTAATTATACTCTACTCATATATTTCTATAATATCTCGTAAATTGAAATAACTAGAAAGAAGCTAAAAATTGAAAATAATGATTTTTCGAAAGAATGAAAATCTCAAAATTTTTGTCAAGTTAGAAAAAGTTGATTTTTGTTCAACTTTAAATGATTATAACCCCTAGCTCAAGATGAGTTAGGTGTGGTAGGATATATCTTGGAATAGGCTTTCCAACGCCGCTAAGTTCGTGTGATTCTGAATTCGTATGAGTGAGTTATGCCCTTTGAAAGTTAGACTGTTGGAATAAGAAAAGTCTAAAAATTGAATTTTAGATGGGTAGTTTGGTCTTTTCCTAACCCAACTTAATTAATTCGTTTTTAAGAGTTTAATTGGGGCAACATCAAATTCTAGTCAATTTAGAAAAATTGAATTCACGCTAGGGCTTGGAGAGAAGAGCAAAGAGAAGAAACTTCAAGTTCTTAAAAAGTAGAACTTGCAAAGCTAATTGTATTGAATATCTTGATATCTAAGTATTCAAAATAATTGTAGTTTCTTTACACATGCATTACACGTGTATAACTAATAATATAATCGGAAAAAATCCTAAAATACCTTCGAAGTATTGAAAATGGTACACAACTATCCCATCCATCTATTGGCCCCCAAATACCCTTCACATCCACCTTTGGGTCCAAATTTACCCCTTCATTAACGGATCAAAATTAAAAATAATTAAATAATAATTTTTAATGACGTGACACTCAATTATTGGTTGTAATTTGATTGTTTAAAATAATTTTAAACCCACCCATTTTAACTAAACCCGCCCCACTTGACCCAATTTTTTAAAAAAAATCATCTAATTAAAATATCCTAAAACCTTATTCCTCCAATTTTCACAACTTCCATCGACTCCATTGTCGTCGTCTTCTTCTTCATCCTGCAACTTTCACTGTATGCATTCACAATCTCGACTGGAACAATTTGTAGAGAAGCTGCTTTAGATTTCCAAATTATGGTTTCCTTTTTCTTGACAAGTTGATTATGATAATTACATACAACTACAGTTTGATTTTCATGAAAGGATAAAGGTTTCATTTCCCCAATGGAACTAACACTTGTCTTTGCCAGGAAGTGGAGGTACTGCTGGAACAGGTTCAAGAAGCTAGAAGAATTAAACTTTTGCATCAGCCTAGTACGGTATGCTTTAAATATGCTTCACTTTACTTTCGTAGTCAATCCATGACACCAGTTGAACTTCAATATATCTGTTTTTTTTAGGTGATGGACATGGAACATGAACTGAGGGCTTCAATCAACTACATGTTGTGACTCACGGTGAAAATTGCAGGATGAAGAAGAAGAAGAGGACAATGGAGTCGATGAAAGTTGTGAAAATTGGAGGAATAAGGTTTTAGGGTATTTTAGTTAGATGTTTTTATTAAAAAAAAAATTGTGTCAAGTGGGGCGGATTTAGTTAAAATAGGTGAGTTTAAAATTAATTTAAATAATTAAATTACAACCAATGATTGAGTGTCACGTCATTAAAAATTATTATTTAATTATTTTTAATTTTGATCCGTTAATGAAGGGGTAAATTTGGACCCAAAAATAGATGTGAAGGATATTTGGGGGCCAATAAATGGATGGGATAATTGCGTACCATTTTCAATACTTTAAGAATATTTTAGATACTTTTCCTAATATAATATACATTTCTATGAATAATATCAATATTATTAAAAACTTTGAATTCAATTTTACTGTATTGCACTTTGACAAATCAAACACAAGTTCACCCCCTTTCTTCACATTGTTATTATCCACAAATTTTCTCCATCCACTGCTAATAAATTTATAAGTAGATCTATCTTCACTGTAAAATAAATTTTACTTTTTTTTACCACAAGTAAAAATTAAAGGTGCTCCAGTAGAAGGAAACTCTTTGTTCATTTTCTTGAGTAAATACTATCTTCCAAATATATATATATA